ATATATATTAATTCTAAAACCCCTTAGGGAACAATACTTCTCTATGATTGGCTGGATTTTTTTTCTTTGTTGGGTTTCCTTTTGGTCACAGCCATGTTCACGATTGCTACATGTTATTGGACCAAACTATTTTTTTTATAAAGATAATCTGTTTCTCTTTAATGACGCAACCATCCTCATCGTCAGAGGCTCTTCTGTCCACAATGCCACTTGCCCTTCTCTCTTAATCCACCGATTTCCTTCTCCAATAGTATTGCCCCAACACACCACCGACTCACAGACCATGTACAATCAACAGTGTCTTCCTTTGTCGGTCTACCCTTATTCTACCAAACCACTTTCCACTTCCTTCCTTGGTCGGTCTACCCTTCTTCTACCAAACCACTTTCCGCTTCCTTCCATTGATCCCCTACGCTCCTCCAAACCACCACTCACTCCTCCGTCGTCGATCGATTTAGGGTCAGCTATCGAGGGAAATAAATTGTTCAGTACAACAGAAATTGATGGTCGATTTTGCCCTACTTCGAAGGGTTGGCGGTGGAGATCAGTTAGTTAGACGCTTGCTTCTTCATTGTTTCGGTCATCACACAACCCTTTTCCATTACAATTCCCTCTTCCTGTTCCTTTGGGTTTTTTCTATTTTTATTTACATCAGATTGCGTGTTCTTTGTTCTTTAAAGCCACTTTCACCATTTTTCATGAACCCAGTTGCCCTTTCTCTGGATTCATCATTCATGGAAATATACAACGATTCAGATCAACTAGAGAGTGATTTTGTTTTATAGTTAGTAAAAAAAATGAGTCGACTCGATGAACTAATGGCTATATTTTTGAAGGAAAGTGAAGAGACAGAAAGGAGTACGAGAACGATCGTCGACCTTCTAAGGGAGAGAACCATGGACGGCGACGATAGGTTCCGACGAAGGAAGAGTCTTCAAGAACGATTAGGATTAAAGAGTATGGTATGTTGTGGATCCGCTTGGGGCATCGGAATCGGACCTTCCACCATGAGCACCCGATCTGGCGACGATGACGACGTCGTTGACTCGATCCATTAAATAGATTCTCATCTACAACGTCTGTTCTTCTTCAGGTTTGGGTCTTCGGCTTGATTAGATCATCGGCTTCGTCTATCTGCTTTGTGATTATTGATATATTTCCAATCGCCTCTTCAAGTTAGTAAAATAGAGATCAACGGAGCGCAATTTGTTAATTTTTTCTTTAGGTAACTAATAATTTGTTTTTGCTTTCCACATAGGTATATGCCAATTTGACATTTCATATCATATCTTGTGTTTTTCCAAAATCTGATTGATTAATTGGTTCTTATGTTTTGTTTTGATTCAGGGGCTTACGGTTTCTTCATTCAGTTTCACTTGCACATGTTTGAACTTTTATTTTGTTTTTGCTTTCATCATCCAATCAGTTGACATTAGGAAGCTTCTGATTGTGATTTTAGTGAAATTTACTTGTAGAGTTTGTTTGATTGAATTGAACTGAAAACTTTAATATTCTTATCAGTAAACTTTAATATTCTTATCAGTAAGCAATAGAGGAGTACTTAGACCACCAATTTATTCCTAGAAATTATCAACAAATATATTTCATTTTTTTATAATATATTTTTTTTATGTTTATAAATGATTTGTTAATAATAAAATCCATTAATTTCATGGTACTTTCAAAAAATCCCAATATTTTGGTTATTATGTACTTTTTGGAAAAGTCCCCAAATTTTGAGCAAACTAACGAAAAAGGACAGAATACCGGCAAAATCCGTGAAACCGGCTGAAAAGAGTTTTTTCGAAGTTTTAACCGGTATTCTGTGCTTTTCTGTAAATAAAATTTAGTTTGGAACTTTTTTCATAAATTGGACTAAAATTTTAGAATTTTTCTGAAGATTTCCATAAATTGAATTGTGTATGTGAGTATTAACATGCTAATGTCAATCAACAATGAGCCCTAAAACAGTATTGGTTGTTCTCTGAAATCTGAATCAACATGGAGATGCTTTAACGTTGAATGGTACTAATCTATTATATACTTGAGTCGCAATTTATTAGTAACATGAAGGCAAACAATATATAGAATAAGAATACAGATGAGGTATATAACAAGCCTAAGTAGTTCTTTAATAAAGAAACTGAACCATTTTGTGCTGAATGATAAAGTGTGTTTTGCAGGATATATCAAGCATTAAAGATTTGACAATGCTATATGAAGCTGCAACTATTGAGGCTGTGTACTTGGTTTATGAACAATTGAAAACATGTAGTTTTCTTTGATTTCAATCGGAAATTACATATTTACACTGTTTTTGGAGATAAACGTCAATAATTCGTTATTTTTGTTCCTGTTTTGGTCTTTACAAGTATTCCTGGATTAGTATTTAATTAAAGTAATCATATTGCTTTTGGTTGTATCTTTTCAATCAAACGACAATTTCCAACCCCCGAGATCCTTCCCTAGTTACTATTTACTTGACCACTCAATAAGACTTAATACCATTTGAAAGGATATATATATATATATATATATATATATATATATATATATATATATATATATATATATATAT